CATTGCTGAGGGGAGCAGCGGGCGGGTCAGGAGAGGTCTGCCTCGCCATGTGGATCTCCTCCGGGGCAGGCGGGAATGGAACTCATGCGGAAGCGGCTTTAGATTCTCAGTGTTGTGCTTTAACCCGCTGCGCCACCAGGGAGGGCCTGCACTGTTTTACTTTTATTTATTGCATGAGTATGATGTCAATATTTGTGATTAAAAATTCGTACGTTATATTTTTTAAACAAATATCAAATTAATATTGATACTTAATGCTCTTGAGTTGTAGAAACAACAGAGTTTGATTTGGTTTTTGAGATCATTTGATTGTATACTCATAACCAGCTCAGTTTATTTTAGTGGTTGTGGAAATAGGGATGAGTGCTGCTATAATAATTTTAAGATGTATTTATACTTATTGTATGTGTAAGATATTCTGTAAAAGCTTCTCTTTGTTATTATAATATGAGGGTCACTGCAGAGAAAGCATATAACTAATAGAATATGAATACTAATTAAAAATTTACTAATATAAACTAGTGAACATGGGAGTACAATGTTATACTGGAGCAACTGAAAGGAATCACTGCCATCTCTTCTAATTAATGGCAAAAAGTGAATGCCTATGAGTTAGCAGAAGTTTCCTAGAAAGGAAAAAAAGACTGCAAAGCTATAAAGGAAAGGCATGTTAGCCATAGGTGTTTATTTATTAACTCAAAAAATATTTAAGGTATGTTATTCCCAGACACTGTGTTTTAGGCACAGAATATTCAGAGTAGAAAATACATATATGTATACAATTTAATAGGACAACAACTGTAAATTATTTGTCTAGAATTTGTATCTTGTATTAGCCACCTAGTTTCCATGACTTTATCAAAATTCTGTCATTTCCTATATGTATTATCAGTTTAAATATTAAGAAAACTAGTTAATCCTTTTTTTTTTTTTAATACTAACTGGCAGTTTTCCTGGTTTTAGGCACTAAAACAAAGAGAAGCAATCCTGAAACTCATTTTGAAAAATGAAAATGTAAGTAGGAAATTTTCCCTACTCTATTAAATGTGATGCTAATGTCAAAAAAATTGTTTCAGAAAAATGATATATTGTAATTGACTAAAAGATAGCCTACTTTTTTTTTAAAAGATTTATTTATTATTTATGCATACAGAACTGGGGTCCAGGCCAGAGGTGTGGGGAGTAAGAGGATTCATCAGATATAGAGCGGGGAGCAGAACAGGTAGATTGAATGAAATACACTGTTTTAGGGGCGCAGCAGTGAGACAAGAGATGTCTTCTGCGCCATGTGGGTCAGCTCCCTGGCTGGGAAGCCATAGTGGCTGGCGATAGCTTGATAGCATCGAGACTTAACCCCCTGCACCACCAGGGAGAACCACATGTCAAATTTTAAACTTTTTTGGTTAAAAATCCTTTAGAAACTGAAAATTCTTTTAAGTAATTCTCCCATGCTGTTCCAATATAACTTAATTCTAAGACATGTCTAGATAAATCCTTTGTAGTATATATTTGTTTTTTAAGCATGTTTTATATCTGTTTAAGGTGGATAGGCATGTGGATCTGCTGGAAGTTGCCCAGGAAACCGATGGGTTTTCAGGAAGTGACCTGAAAGAGATGTGTCGGGATGCTGCCCTCCTCTGTGTTAGGGAATATGTTAATTCTGCATCCGAAGAAAGGTATGTGTATTCCTAGTTGATGTCTTTATCAAGATATTCTAGAGCTTTTATTTGAGTTTCATTTCTTTCAATTTATAATAACAAGTCTGCTTAGGTAATGTAAGGTAAATTGGAATTAATGGTACTCCCAACTTTATTGCCTTTTCTTTTTTTTGGGAGAACTGAACATGGGGTGAAAGGGTATCATGGGCAAGATCTGGAATAAAGAGGAAGAAATAAAATTTGACTTTCCCTTGAAAACCACAAGTTGGGTTTAAAGAATGTAGTCATAAAATTAGGTTTGCCCTTCTTTACTGGATAAACCTATTTCAATAAAGATACTAGTGAATAGAAGAAATTCAATGCCGATGTGCCATGTTCCTCAGAAGACCACTTACCCTGAACCGGAGTAACACTGCATTTCTAACCCTCTAACCAAGAGTTCCTTGATTCTTTGTGAAGCATTGTATTTTGGAGGGTTGTGATGAATGAGCTTTCTAGTGCTTGCCCCTTTGTTTCTCAGTCTCCTTCCTTGGCCTACGAGGCTTTCATTCCAAGTGACCCTGTGGCGTTCATGTGTCTTAAGTATCCAGAGCATTGTCACAGCAGGTTTCACCAAAAAGTTTCTTTTGGTTTAAAAAGGTTTGCCTGAAAGCAATATTATTAACCAGTAGCTGTGTATGCACCTAGTTTCTGGACCTATTTTTTGTGTTACTTTTAGTCCCATTGTGGGATCACTTAATTTATCTGTTGACAGCTAACATGGTGGGGGAAAAAATGGTAATATTTTTGATGTCTGTAGCCAAAAATCTGTCTTCCCAAGGTTTTTTACTTACATAGAAGATTGAGGCGATGAAAATTCTATGAATAAATGTTGCTTAAGTAATTTGTGTTAATAATGAGAGCCTAGTTTTTCTGATCTTTTCAGGCCCCTGAAAATACTAAATATTTTATTATAATTTCAGTATGAGTAATCTGACATATAACCTTTGGGTTGTCATGACCTTATAAACAGGATTTTGTTTCTCGATCACTGAAATGATGAGGATTATTTATATTTGTGTGTGTGTGTATGAAATTATGAGGATTTTATATATATTAATAGGAATTATTTTAAAATTTTTATTCATTTTTGCTTAGAAGAATTGGGGTGTAGGCCAGAGGTGTGGGGGGCAGTGGGGAGCATTCACTAGAGACAAAGTTGGGAGCTGAATAATAGTGGGATCTATTGAAATACATTGCTGAGGGGAGCAGCAGGCAAGACGGCTCTCAAGGTGATAGCCCTGAGACTTAGTGATTATGCCACCAGAGAGACTCCCAATAGTAAAGGAATTTTACTTTTTATTTCATCAAAAGGTGAACATATACATACATGAATGCTAGTTTTTAAATCTAGTTTTCATGGTGATAAACTTTTGATTTCTTTATGGGCATCTTATAGCCATTTAGATGCACTAACACACATTTCTATAATGTCTATTTATACAGTGCGATGTTCTGTACTTACATTCTTAAAGTGAAATATTTTAGTTACCATAACTGAAATGTTTATAGTCCATGTTTATTCTAAAGTTATTTCAATATTTGGTGCTTTTGTTTGCATTTCAGCCGTGATGAAGATGAAATTCGGCCTGTGCAACAACAGGACCTGCACCGGGCGATTGAAAAGATGAAGAAATCAAAGGATGCAGCATTTCAGAATGTTTTAACACATGTTTGTTTAGATTAAGAGTAAAGATCATTTGTACAGTTCAATGTGACCTAGTTTGATGTACCCATTCATCAGTAGTGGAAAAGAATGGAGGAGTGTTCTTTAACAGTGAGGGAGTTACATGTTTATCACACTGGTTTTATACTCTGAATTCTAAGTTATTGAGATAGAGTTGTTATGTAAGCTGTTACTACTTGTCAGAAATCATGAGGAGGAACAATTTAATCCAGCCTGAGTGTGGGTACTTGTGTTTGACCTCTTTAGCCATATGTTGCAACCTTATAGCGTCTAAGCTGGTCTTAAAAGTAATAAGTGATTCATGGAGTCATTAGTGAGAAATGGGGTGTGGCTAAGTGCTGGTTTCTAGCTCTGTGTGTGTGTGTTAAGTGTATATATTCACACATTTTATATTGACATTCTGTAGATACGTTTGAATACAGAAACTTTTTTTTATCCTAACTACTGAATCAAAAGTACCAAATAGTTGGTATAGCTAAAGTTAAAATTTGAGGTTGTGTCTAAAAGGTAAAAGGTGCAGTGATTCAGTGATTTCCAATTATCATTTGTTTCAGCTTTTTTTTTTTTTTTTAAGTTGAGCATCTCTGCAGTTAAATAGTTGAATACTGAATACTTAGATGCGGCTCAGTTATTGTGGTGATCAGGATAGTGAAACAGCCACTTGTTCAGTTGTCAGCAGTGACTGGTTCTTGAGGTAGTTGTGAGATCAACACTGATGTTATCTTTCAAAAGAGTAACATAGAGACATTTTATATAGTTGCTGTTGTGAAGTGGATTGAAAGCCTCTCACAAAAATGAGAGTTTTTTGAAAAAACCCAGTGCCATTCAGTACACATGACATGTGATTTTCCTTTCTTCAGTTACTGTAACATAGTTCTGCCGTAATCATTGTTTTGTAATGTTATTTCAAAGTTATGTGTTCTTTAGTTAAGAACAAGTGTAATGTGATCATCAGACATGAAATGTTAGTTTAAAATAAGTGGCTTTTACTCTGTGTTCTAAGAATACTCATTTTGTAACTTTAATTTTTAAGCCTTTTTTTAAAAGCATATTACAAATTGTACCCCGGTTAGTACAGATGATACACACCAAAATTCCTGTCTGTAGTCATTTGATTCTATGTGCACTATGTAAGTTTTTTTTTTTTTTTTTTGTTTTGTCCAAAATTTCACTAACCAGAATTTTCTTACAAGCACTTAAATACCCAGCATGAGGAACATGACACACTGCGATACTGAGGTGCCATCGGAGTCATCAGAAAGATTATGTTTCGTGGTCGTGGTTTTTTTGTATACTTTGAAAACTCAACCTCTTCATGAGTCATTTGATTGATTTCTTTGATAATATATCACGCACTGAAATACTGGTTATATTTTCCTTTCAATTGTGTTGACTGGCAGGTGGTGTAGAGGTTGCCGGAGAACACTTAGTTAACAAAAAAAAGCAAGTTTTGAACAATTGTGAAAATGATTGATCTTGAATGCAAAGCAAAGAATACCAAAAATAAAAATTTCATCTCCATTTTTAATAACTATTATGCTATTATTTTATAAATGTGTAATAAAGAGGGTCCCTCTTTATTGATTTTTCTCTATTCCTGATTCTTTGGGTTACATAAAAATTTCTGGGTGTTGTAGGGTTTTTTCTCCCACGTTTATCAAACTTGCCCTTACACTGTTTTTGTCTTGCTGTGTGATTTCATTTTAGTCTTACTGAATTGGTTGGTTGAAAGTAAGGGGTGCTGTCTCCCTCATGTCTTTTATCTTCTTTTAATTTAAGAATATGTAATAGTAATTAAGTTTATCATTTATTATTTGTTATCAAGTGATGTTAGAGAAATACACTAATCCCAGCAACCATGATTCATCTCAGCATTTTGAGGATTTAAAGTAACTGAGCGATGTATACCTGTTGACTGTGCTCAGTTTTTGAGCATTTTCCATGCTTAATCCATTTCCATAATTTCTAGACCTGCACCCTAAGGATTGAAATAATCCTTCACTTGTGTGGTGTGAATCTAAGTTCTCATTGTTCAAAGATTCCTGTTAAGTCTTGTGTCTCAAGTTATTCTCAAGCCTTTTTAAGTAAGAGTTTAGTAGCTCATTTGAATCAATCCAGTATCTCTATATTTCTGTGTTATTCTCCCAACTCGCTCCCTACTCCTCCCCTCCCTCCCCCTTGCAGAAGAGCTCAAAATTCACTGTGTTTTTAGAGCTGGATTGGAATGATTAGAATAATCTTACGGACCATAGTCATGTAACTTCACCTAGTAGCTATAACGTGTAAGTTTGATCTCTATTGATGCGTCAAGCCTTCAGTGTGTTAATATAAAAATGACAGTATCTCTTAATGGGAATTTCTTTTTACTGGAATTGTGGTGTGGACAAAGGTTACAACTTTCTTCTGGATAAAGAGAAGTTGGGTGTTTTCAAATTCATTTTAGCTTCTCTTATGGTCAGAATATTGACTAGAATATTGACTTAGAATATGATTCTGCATGAACAAAACTTTTAAAGCCTTAAGAATTACACAATTTAGAATTGATAGAAATTTTTAAAGAGGACTCATTATTCAATTTGTAGATTTAATTATTAAAGACAGTCCCTTTATTGCTTCAAAAGTTAAAACTTTATAGGAAAAATCTAAGTTGGCCCCTTTATGAAATTGTAAGGAGATGTTAATGCACAAATGCCAGATGCAAATGAGAACAAACAAAAACCACAGTGTGAAAAAAAATCCTCAGTAACACTGGTGTAAATTTTATATAGTTAGTACTAACAGTGCATGTTGGTCTCATTACTGAAGCACTGAACTAGGAGAATACTTTTATGATTGTTTAATATTTATAGTTATAAATAAGACACTTATAGTTTGAATCTTTCATGCTTTGAAATACAGGTCTAGTGAATATTACTGCCATCATGGAATGCATTACAAAAACAGATTTGTGACTTGTAACATCTTCATTTTAAAACCAGAGGTAAATAACAGTAGCAAAGATACAGAAACAATCTGAATACCCAGAAACCTATGAGTGCACCAAGATTTGTGTATACATACACACCTACATACATGGTAAAATACTACTTAGCAATCAAAAAAGTTAAACTCATGCTATTTGTGGCAACTTGATGGAAGTGGAAAGGATTGTGACAAGTGAAAGGCCAGAAGGAGAAAGTGGCACTTATGTGTGGAATATAGGGAAACCTAGTAAAGTACAAAGTATAAAACCAATAATTGAAAACTGATCATAGAAGGAGGTTTACAAGAAAGGACTGGGAAAACTCCAGGGATAAAGCACAATGGACTATGGAACTATGGGTGCTTTGGTGGTGAGAAACAAGATACTCAAATAGGGGTGGTTATATATCACCCAGTAAAGCAAATTCCTTTGTCTGAGGGAGACAAGTTTTGTCAATAGGCCATAGCCATACCATAAGAGGACCAGTTAGGGTTTTATTGCAAGTAACCAACTCTTAACTGATCTAAGCATTAAGAATTGATTGAAAGATCATGAGGTCAAGGGGGAAGTAAAGGAATAAATGTTACTTTTATATAGTAACTGGATTGTCTTTCCAACTGTCTTTAAATTGCCTCCTTCAAGACTCAAAATTCTGAAGGTGAAGGTGTAAACCAGTTTAAAAATCACCCCTTGCAGTCCTCTGTGACTCTAAGCAAATGACCCTCCAGAATGCTTGGCTTAAGTGGTTTAAGAACAAGTTTCTGGATTTACTAACCTGACAAGTTTAATAGAGAAGGAGAGCAACATTTGATCAAAATAGGAAAGTGGGAAGTGGGTGGAAAAACAAAACAGCAAATGATCATAGGTGGGCGCTAAATGAAGGTACTTAATTGGGTGTCCTGGAGCGTGCGACAGTCACAGTACAACCTTCAGGAACTGCTTGGTCTGATCCACACTTGGGCTGATGGAGTACTACCAAGCTTGTTCAATCAGGTTATCACTTTCTAACATAATTTGTTATGTTAGATTTAAAGACCCCAGGGACTGGTTTTATATTTTTTGGCCAGGGAGTTCAAGTTTTGGGGGTTTTTTAGATTTGTTTATTCATACAAAGAACTGGGGTGTCGTCAGAGGTGCAGGGAGTAGGGTGGGGGCTGGTGAGAGGATTCACCAGGGATAGAATAGGAAGCAGAATAGGTGGATCTCTGAAATGCACTGCTGAGGGGAGTAGTGATTGAGACGAGTTATCTGCTTCACCATGAGGGTCAGCTCCCTGGAGGGGCATCAAGCATGCTGCAGTGGCTACAGCTTCATAGTGCTGAGAGGTAACCCACTGCTTTCCTGAGACTGTTGACCCAACCCCTCCCCTTCTGTGCAGCAAGCTTTCAATGTTAGCAGACAGTATTTGAGCTGGGGAGGGCTGCAAGTTGAGATGTTGATGGTTCTCTCCCTTTGTTCAGTTGTGACATGGTTCTGGCATCCAGTCACCATGAGAACATACAAGATTCAGCCTCTGCCTTTTTCTACAAAATCCTAGGAATGCGGATTGTGTAGCCTGAAGTTTTGTTTTTGAAGGTGATGTTTCCCGATTTCAATCGCTAGTATCTGACTCCATCTATGTATGGCAGTGCTGTTCTTCCACGTGTACATCCAGGCCCCGGAGTCTGCTCCCAGGGTAAAAAAGTACCAAGGCTCTGCTCACCTCTGAGAGTTTATTTCTCTTTGAAAATCAGTTTATAAAGAATTCCTTGCATGTACTGTCATTTGCTAGCCTCATAGAAAAATATTTTTATTTTGTCTGGATTTTTCTTCTTAATGGGTAGTAAAAGTCTTACATCCTTCCATAGTCTAGTAGAAGACATTATGCAGGAATTTATTGTAAGTCATGTAAAGTTCACTCTCAACTTCATAGGTTTCAGTCCCAGCTGTGGAACTTTTACAATGTCAAATTTTAACAGGGCAAGGTAGCCTTGGGAAAAATCCTTTACTTTGTGGGCATTTGTTCCCTTGTCTGTAAGAGGAATCCTAATTTGTACTTTATCTGGGATTGCTTTCAGACTATATGAAATGCTTTGAAACTTGAGTATGATTAGGTGATGTCCTCATTTAACATTTCTTGGCTGCTGTTTCCTAACTTGTACAATAACAGAAATGCTAAAATACATGTGCTTTAGATTCCCATCAGTTTTCACTAACACCACACTGGCAGCAACTACCATCTTGGCCATGACAGGGTTCTCAGCAACACTACCACTCACCAGGGCTTCTACATGGGGTAGCTTTCTTAGCTACTAGTCAATGCATTTAATAGGCACAAACTGAAACATGTCATCAGGTAGACAAGTAGAAGACACTTGATTGTACTTAGTGTTTTCTGTGGATTAATCGTGTTTTTTTGGATCTGTTGGAAATGTAAACTTTATTTGTTTTAAAGATTTATTTATGCATATAAGAACTGGTGTATAGGTTAGAGATGCAGAGGTGTGAAGAGTATTCACCAGAGACAGAGAAGTAGTAGAACAGGCAGATAGACTGAAATACACTGTTAAGGGGAGCAGAGGGTGAGCCAGACGTCTGCTGTGCCATGTGGGTCACCTCCCTGCCTGGGGATTGAACTTGTGCTGCAGTGGTTGCAAATAGCTTTCACAGTGCTATACTCTAACCCTCATTTCTTGTATGCATATTGCATAAAAATAAACAAATCTTAAAAAGAAAAATTTGAGGTTAGGCTAGATCATACTACCTCTTTAGTGGTTGATGGATTAATTTCTTCCATAAATGTGCAGAATATTTGGTAAATATGTAATGGTGTGATATCCATAAAAAGGGAGAGGTTCCAGGTCCCCTGCCCTACCCAAGGAAGGGTAGAGCTGAGCAGGGAGGTGAAGCTAGAAAAGGACTGAAGAAAGAAGGCAGAAAAGTGAAGAGAGTTGGAGAAAGAAGTCTGGAGGAGATTCCTTGAGAAGAGAGACGTGAAGAGGAAACTATTCTTGCTTCTTTGCCCTGGTCTAGTATCAGGGACTTGGGACGCAGGAGACTCTTGAAACAGACCTGGGGTGAGAGACCTGTGGAGGATCACCTTCATCTTAATTTTGATTTTTCTCTTTTCCTTCCAGACTTACCTGGTCTTTCTGTCCCTTTTTTTTTTTTTAAGATTTATTTATTTTTGTGCATACAGAACTGGGGTACAGGCCAGAGGCTCAGGGGCAGTGAGATGCTTCACCAGAGACAGGGTGGGGAGCAGAATAGGCAGATCGGTGAAGTACACTGCTAAGGGGAGCAGCGGGCGGGTCAGGAGAGGTCTGCCACGCCATGTGGTCACCTCCGGGGCAGGCAGGAATCGAACTCATGCGAAAGTGGCCTTAGCTTGCCAGTACTGTGCTTTAACCCGCTGTGCCACCAGGGAGGGCCATCTGTCCCTTTTTTATAGGTCCCCACCAACTGGTGCCTGAGAGAGGCTCATGGCAAGCTTTCAGGCCTCAGCTGCCCTCCTTTGGGCCAACCTTGTTTGGTTACGCATTTGTCCACAGGGGATGGGCAACTTTGGGTGCTTGCTGTTGAAGCCACATTCTCTTTTCTCACTGGCACATTAACTGTACTAGTGTTTCTTTCCCATTGTATTAAAATCATTTTCCATTGAAAGTCTTGAGCACTAGAGTGATTTTGTCTTTATGTGGTGGATGTCAGAACTCACTTAGAATGGGTGAGTTTGAGGGCCCCAGGACGCCTCTCCTCCCTGCCTGATAACAAATATACTCAGTCCAATTTTCTACCTAGCTTCTAATACCAGACCTATTGGAGTCATTTTCATGAAAGTAATACAATTTTTTAACCTCTTAGTGGAACTTTATTTTTGAAATATTTGTGGAAAACAGGCTTATACAGTAAACACAAGTCAAGATTTTTCATTGCCACACAATTGTATGATACATTATTTTCTGCATGTCATATTAGTGAAATAGGGACAGAGCAGATTTAAGCTTCTGAAACAAGCCAACTATATTAAACAACTTTACAAAAGTGTATTTTACTAGTGGCAGCAATCGCAAATGTGCTAAGACATTAGTGGAGATGTTTGCTTATGCATTTAAGGTAGTAAGATTGCATTACTTTTAAAAACATTCTATAATATAGATTCTTCACAATGAAGACTGGCCTTCCCTCCAATTAATGCAAATGGAAAGGTCTGTAAAAATGACATTTAATGGTTGGGGGAGGGGTAAGGAAGAGTAGCTTGTGACAAAGGATAAGCCACTGAAAAATGATATGAAAGGCTTGTCTTTTAGTCATTAAGACTCCCTTGCATCCACCATTCGTTGCTGGCCCTAGAAAAGCATTTTTATTTTGTCTAGGTTTTTCTCATGTCAAACTAGAATGTCCAGATGGCCAATTATTTTTAGAAATTCAATAAAGCAAAATGACCAGTTATTTTTAGAAATAATGACCAGTTTTTTAAAAAATACATATTTTTAATTTTTAGAAATAATTATAATTTTAATAAAACAAAAAAAATCAAACAATTATCTGAAGTATATATTAAGAAGTGCTTATATATCATTTTCATTATTTGGTGAATACATATGATCAGTGACCCAATAATAATGAATATTCGCCATAGAATTAAATCCATGCTGGGGGGAGATAAATAAGTTGCTATGCTTTGTTATCTGTTTATAGTTGATTCTTGATAATTTATGCATGTTAGTGTTGGGGATGCTTAAATATGCTTAAGCCTGCGTCATTCAGATTCTCATAAACAACATTTCCTAGTTCATCAAACCTTTACACGTAAGCATAGTTGACCAATTTGGCACCATCTGATTTCCTAATTCCCTACTTAGAAGGAAAGAATGTTGAAGATTGGTGCTAAGCCTGAAAATCAGGAAGTAGAAAGGAAGAAGATGAGGAGGAAAACAAAGAATGCACGGTTCTGAAGTAACCAAGACAAGTTTCTCCTTGTAGGGAAGAGCTGGAAAGAAAGCTTATGTTGCTATGTTTATGAGGTCCACCAATATCTGACCAAATGATATGCTTGTTTCCAGAATTTTTTCTCACTGTCCTGTATACTCCTTCAGCACTACTTATACCTTCATGTATTTATTTATAAAGATTTATTTATGCATAAAGAACTGGGGTACAGGCCAGAGATGCAGGGATGAGAGGATTCACCTGAGACAAGAGTAGGGAGCAGAACAGGCAAATGTATTGAAGTACACTTTTGAGGGGAGCAGTGGGCAAGACAGGAGAGGCCTGCTGCGCCACTTCCCTGGCTGGGGATTGGGCTGAAGTGGCTGGGGGTAACTTCATAGAGCTGCACTTTAACCCCTGCAGCCCTCTCAGGGAGGGCTGTTTCTTACTATCACTAAGAAGTAAGGCTCTGAGAGGAAGGTGGGGAGCAACAAACAGCAACTTTGAATAGGTTATTGCACCAGTTTTATTAAGTGTGAGGACCAGAAGCAAGAATTTGCATGATGCCTTCAGGGCAGAAGGGAGCAGAGATTCTAGGGGCCGAGGAAAAACTCTGAAGGGCAGGGCTGTCTGAAGGCCACTGAACATCTGGGTAGAAGAGGTAGTTCCTGAAGTGTGGGAACTGCTGTGGATAAAACACAACAACTTCCAGTTTTGCTGGGGAAACACCTGGGACCGTTGGAAATAAAGAGAAAAAGGTCAGATTCTTGTTCAATGACATTGTAGGGTGAGGCTCCTGAGTCACCCTGTCAACTCCAAAAGCATCATTGCAGTGCCTGACTGAGCCCACGTGTCCTTGACATGGATAGCATGGTTTGTTTATTTTTATTTATTTATGCATACATAACTGGGGTGTAGGCCAGAGGTGTGGAAATGAGGGGTGGATGGGGGGGGAGGGAAGAGAGGATTCACCAGAGACACAGTGGGGAGCAGAACAAGTGGATCTACTGAAATTCACTGCTGAGGGAGCTGCAGTGAGACAGGATAGGTCCACTGTGCCACAGGAGAAGTCTGCTGTGCCATGTGGATAAGCTCTCTGGCCAGGGATTGAACTCATGTTGCAGTGGCTGGCGATAGCTTGATAGCACTGAGACTTTGAAAAAGGAGGCCCTGGGAGCATGGTTTTAAAAATGACAAGAAGGAAGGAAGCACACTCTTTAATGATGATCAGAAGGAAGAGTTGCTGCTGTTGTTTTTCTACAATTATAAAAGGTCACAAAGCCATCAATAGTCTGATCAATGCACTCTGACAGGCTAAGAAAAAAAAAAACTCAGCCTTTGTTTTGAGAAATTTATTAAAATAAGAATAAGCATCAGTTGTACACAGAAAGTCATTTGCACTAAACAAATAGAGCAGCAGAGCAGTTTTAAATATATTAAAAAATCACAAAATATATCGGTTAAGGCACTACATCCTGTCTCATGTTTTCAATAAATATGTTCTTTGTTAAAGAGCAGTAGTGAGTACCTCTGATTAAACTGGCTTAGGCACTATGCTATTTAAAGACAGTTAAACTTTGCTGTAACCCTTGTGTGCAATTCATTCTCAAAGGAACTTTCATTAGCTAAGAACGTTTCTTTTAAATCTGAGAATATGAAAAAAAAATCACAGTTTTTCTCTTTCCAGTTTAAGCCTCTTCCAGAGAGACCTACGTACAAAAGGTACTAGTTTCTTCATATTTTTCTCAGGACAAGGAATTATGCAGAAAGTATAAAAGCCACCCAGGAGGTAAAGAATTCAGAGGCTGGATGTTTCAACAGCGTAAGTCTTGGGGAATGTATTGTTTTCAACGGCAACAGATCAGTTGGGTTTAGAAAACTCTGGACCTTCCAGTTTGTAAGAAGACTGCTTTGTAGGGGCCTGACGTTCAAGAAGCTTTGTTAAGCATCTGCGGAGGCTGACTCCCTCCTGTGTTGTGAGGATAGATGACCCAGGTGGCTGGACTTTGTTCATGCCACCGTTACTTCCTGTAACGTGTTTCTGTTACAGTACCCAGCGGCTCACTGAACATGTACTTGAGTATTTCAATGGCTGGATTCAATGTGTCCTCAGTGCTTCAGTCTGATACTGTAAATTATTCTCAGCTGCAGATGTAATTGCTATCAGTGGGCATAGTCTCACTCTAGAAGTCCAGTGGTCAGAGCAAAGAGGAGAAAGGGAACTTTCCATAATATGGACAGATTGAACCTGGGCATGTAACTTCTCAGAGCACTCTGCCATTTAATTAAAGTCACTGTTAACTGGGAGTTATATCAGAGACAGAGCGGGGAGCAGTGGGTGAGAAAGAAGAGGTCTGCTGCACCAAGTGGGTCAGCTCACTGACCAGGGAATGAACACATGCTGCAGTGGCTGTGGAGAGCTTCATAGTGCTGTGCTTAACACCTTGCACCAACAGGGAGGCGCCTAACTGGAGTTACATTATTCATGGAAGGGCATTAAAACAACTTTTGTGGTAGAAGTAGGTTGCATTGGTCTCTGAGATTACATTCACATTTCACACATTCGTTTTCTCCAGTCAGTTCATTGTTCAGCACACAAGATATTGGGCTGTCAAGCTGTATACAGATTTGGAACAAAGTATTAGTAAGAATCTTGACATGAACCACACCTTGTTTAGGGCAAGTCTCAGCCAATTGTATAGAAAAGGCTGTTCATCTCATTTACTTATTTACTACTGGTATGATGTGGGGAGAGTGTGGTTGTCAAGACTTAACCTGGAAAATAGGCCTTGTGTTTTGGCCTGTAAACTAGACCTAAGACACAAGTTTTAGGAAATCTAGGACCTACCTGCTCAGATGCATGATTTTATTCTGAAACACCATTGCTTACACCTGACAAGATTTGGTCTTCAGTATGTTCAGTGTGACCTTTTTAAAAAACATATACTGAAGTTGACTTTAAATTACAGACACAATTTTATAAAATCCTAACTTTAAAATCAGTCATTGAGAAGCAATTGCATATAAAGCATCTAATCACAAAAATAGAAAAGGGATTCAAAGAGCACTTCAGTAAGAAAGTCTGGGGCTGAAGGGTAGTTAATTGTTCTTCTCTAGGGACCTGTAATAATCTGTCAGCACTTTCCACGCTTTAGGAGCCATGAAGCCATCAGGGGGATTTTCTCCTTCCCGGGCCAGCTTCCTCATCCGAGTTCCTGAGATGAAGTCAAACTGGTTGTGCCTGTCACAGGATAGCAACAGAAAAGGCAATGGAGGTAAGTGACTTTTATCTCGAAGATTCCAGGAGTAGAGTATGAAATCTTAGACCACATTATTTTCTTTCTGTAGAATGCTACATTGATAAAGTGGATGGTTCACTAGCTCTTCAGCTCAGTCAAAAAGAAACAATGGCAACAACCCATTTCAATATTTTACCTGCTCTGTTCATGGAAAGTACCTTCTTTCATTGGGCCTACTTTTTTTTAATTTAATATGTTTTTTTAAAGATTTATTTATTTAAGCCCTCCCTGGTGGTGCAGCGGATTAAAGCATAGCACTAAGAAGCTTAAGACACTTCCGCGTGAGTTCGATCCCCGCCTGCCCCGGAGGTGACCACATGGCGTGGCAGACCTCTCCTGGCCCACTCACTGCTCCCCTCAGCAGTGTACTTCGTCGATCTGCCTGTTCTGCTCCCCGCTCTGTGCCTGGTGAATCCTCTCACCCTCTGCATCTCTGGCCTGTACCCCAGTTCTGTATGAATAAATAAATAAATCTTTAAAAAAATTTATTTATTTATACATACAGAACTGGGGTACAGGCCAGAGGTTCTGGGGTTGGGGGGCGGTGAGAAGATTCACCAAATACAGAGTGGGAACAGAACAGGCAGATGTACTATAATACACTGCTGAGGGGAACAGCAGTTGGGTCAGGAGTGGTCTACTGTGCCATATGGATCACCTCGCTGACTGGGGATCGAACTCGTGCTGCAGTGGCTGTGAATGGCTCATAATTCTATCCTTCAACCAGGTGCGCCACCACGGAGGGCCCTCATTTGGCCTACTTTTGTGAACTTTGCACAATATAAATACTCACTGAAATCTCTTTTTACGTTGACTTCCTTTACTAAGTGTAAAGCAAACAGTGCCTGATCAAAAAATGTATGTGGAAAAGAGCTCTCTGGGCCATCTACTGTGCTAGAGGCTGTGCTACAACTGGAGGGAACATGAAAGGCCTTCAAGGGGCTCTCATTCCAATTCAAGTGCTAAGTGACATAAATCATTCACAAAAAAATAAATATTATTTCCACTAACAAGAGGTAGCTAAACAGTTTAAACTGTAGAGATAAAACACAGAACGGCTGTTACCAAGGGCTGGGGAGGGGGGTGGGGAGTTGTTTAATGAGCATTGAGTGTCAGATGTGCAAGATGAAAAAGTTCTGGAGAGCCATGTCACCCCAGTGGGAATATACTCAATGCTGCTGAATGGCGCACTTAAAAATGGTTAGAATGGCAATCATGCGTTCATGCATATAAGAGTTTTGCAAAGATACAGAACCTGCGTCACCATTGCAGTTGTACAGATACTGATGAAAGAATCTCCCCCTGAGAACACACCTTGCTGGATCATAGAAGTCCATGGCTTTTTTGGTTTTGTTGTAGGCAGCCACTCGGAATGGGATGATTTCCACAGAGGTGAGGCCAGGGGCCATGCTCAAGACCTTGCCCCCATGAGTGGGTTCGTACAAGTCCTTCTTGGTCTCAGGGTGGGGCATTCCTGCAGGGTCTCGGCCCACAATGTAGAAATTGGCCCCAGCCACCATCCGGCACCTGCAGTGCCACTGGACCTGGGGACAGGGGGACAGTCTCGTCATTTTCGTCACCACTGCTCACCAGTCTACAGCGATGCCTTTATTCTGCTTTAGAAGTAATTCAGCGATTGGGGCAATGGATCATGATTTCAGGAAAGCCAGTCAGTTGTGTCTGAGAGTTCATGCTTTCTTCATCATTCTTTGTTATATTGGGTAGGGTAGGAAATTCAACCCTTAGCAGCTGAGGTTATGTTTCCTAATCTCTCCAATCAGGCTATCAGAACAGCAGCCCGTGACCGTACTGTTCCACAGAACTATGTATATTTTACTTTCTAGTCTCTCCCTAATCAGAATAAATCACAGTTTAAAGGAAATTACAAACTCCAGTGCCCCTTATTTTCTGAATAAGTTAATTTTACCTGCTATGCAGACCTTGATTTGAGGTCCACATAATATTGGGACTGTCACATGAATTTGCCTTCTTTTACGTTCAGATAGAAATCTAGTGGGTTAGAGAGCAGAGCTAGAGAGCTGGAACTTTGATCTGGGTAAAGAACACTAATTTATTAAACTCAGTTTGGGGCACTTGGGGCTGAGACCCTTTCAATTAATCATACTCCTGCAAACTTGTTCCAATTCATTGCACACAGTATTATGATGAAAGGGAGCTATTAAGCTTTTAAAGAAAAACTTTCCCTTCTAATGTAGTTCACAGGGCAAAGTGAATCACTTAAGAGTTCCAAATCAGAACTTTGGAACTAAATATGAGTCTAGATAAAACTCACCGTCTAAACTAGGTAAGATGCATTATTGACCTCATTCACATGTGAGCCTCCATACTCTCAAAGGGGTTTATAAGAGGTTTGACAGTTCTAGCACTTTTATAAATACTAAATGGAAACGTAATTAAGTTAGATAAAGAAGACAGAATAGAAGATTACAAAATCTGCTCATGAGGAAGAAGGATCCCCAAAATTTATTTGCTTTTCTAAGCAGCGTTTGAGTCTACACGTCGGAGCCTGGTAGCCTAATTCAGGGACCTGCTCACCTCTGTGGGGCCAGCATATAACATGGGAGACGGGAAGATGGCAACGATGGTTGACTTGGGATCCAGGACCCCTTCCTCCAGCACAGCTGCGTGCTGCTTCATCCGCCAGTCCAAGGGCACATCATCATCCTTGGTCCAGCCACCCAGAGGGTGGAGCAGGAGAACTGGGTGCTTATAGCCTCTCTCCAGGAGCCGGCGGCGGGTGTCCTGCATCAACAGAGCATGGCCATTGTGGACAGGATTTCGCAACTGGAACGCAAACACTGCATCTAGGAATGGAAAGCATAAAAGTATGGTCAAAGAAATACAGTATCACTTGTTAACAAAAACAAAAAGGAGGCTCTCCCTACTGGCGCAGCAGGTTAAAGCACTGCACTAAGAAGCTAAACCACTTCAGCGTGAGTTCGATCCCCACCTACCCCCAGAGGTGACCCACATGGCATGGCAGACCTCTCCTGACCAGCCTGCTGCTCTCCTAGGTGCTTCATCAGTTGGCCTGTTCTGCTCCCCACTCTGTCTCTGGTGAATCCTTTTACCACCCCTGCACCTCTGGCCTGAACCCCAGTTCTGTATGCACAAATAAATAAACCTTGAAAAAAAAAAAAAACAAAAAGGAAAGATGCAGCTATGTTTATTGTTCAGAACACTTATTATTGATACATTTACTCGCTTTTGATAACCAGCTGGAGGATTCACCTGGGTCATTAGGGATTTAATCCAATGGTGCCAATCAATGCCAGACTGCTTAATTAGGGTGGACACAAAAGCAGGTAACTCCAAAGACAGAGCCGACTCACAAATGAAAAACGTTTGTTGCCTGGTCCCTTCCTGCCAACCAAGACTCAAGCAGGAGCTGGCAGTAAGTCCTCTTTCACTCTAGTCCCTGTCTCACTTACCCAGTGGGGTGGATAATAATGATGAGCAATGATTTTTGGAGTTTACCTACAGGTAAAAATTATTTCATCGTTTCTTTCTTTCTTTCTTTCTTTCTTTTTTTTAAGATTTATATATTTATGCATACAGAACTGGGGGTACAGGACAGAGGTGCAGGGGCGGTGAGAAGATTTACCAGATTTTTCAAGATTTATATATTTATGCATACAGAACTGGGGGTACCGGACAGAGGTGCAGGGGCGGTGAGAAGATTTACCAGAGACCGAATGGGGAGTAGAACAGCAGATTGATGAAGTACACTGCTGAGGAGAGCAGCGGGCAAGACAAAAAAGATCTGCTGTCACCTCCCTGGCCAGGGATTGAACACGTGTTGAAACAGCTGTGGCTAACTTCGTAGTGCTGTGCTTCAACCCTCTGCGCCACTGGGAGGACCCCATTTCATCTTCACTATAATCAAATTTTCAAAACTCCTCCACTTAGTGATGGACTTCTAAGAGCCTTAAGTTTTTTCCCTAGTTATGAAATGATTACTGTAAATCCATTATAGAAAACTTGCTAACTACTAACAAGCTCTAAATGAAAAGGGGAATCTTCCCCTATGCTTGGTCCAACTTTGTAGTATGGTCATCTGCACTTTGGCCCTCATGTTTCCAGAGACTTCTGCTTTACTCATCTGATTTATGCTACTTAGTCAACTTGGTTAAGTTTTAAAAAATCAATTACAGTTGACTCTTAAATAACTTGTAGAATCTCAGACCCCAGTCCCTCAACTCCCCACTCCTGTCTACACCCTCAGAAATCTAAGTATTATTTTTATTAGTGGTGAGGAGATAAATAAGGTCACAGTGCTGCAACATGAGCTCACTGAAATAGCATCAAGAGGTAGCTGCAAGTTATCACAGTCACACAGTATGCAATACAGTTTGTTATATGCAGTAAGGATTGCTTACAGTTGTCTTGAGTGCAAATAGTACCATGTATAGTCTGTAAGTATGTGTTTTTTGATTTTTCTTAACTTTTCATAATAGATTTGTGTATAAAGTAGTAAATGATAAAATAAACTATTATTTTCAAATCTCCACGTTTTCCAATATATATATTGAAAAAAGTTCATGTGTAGGTGGACCTGTGTTGTTTAAAAACATGTAGTTTGAGGGTCAACTGTATGGTTTTTTAATTTGTTTTTCCAAAATTAAATTATACACACTGTTCTGCAATTTGCATTTTAGCTTAAATACACATTAACTAGCTTTCTTTATCTGTGTGTATTTTAACTGCTGCATAATATTCCAACATATGGATGTTGCTGAACTCTACAAATAGCTTCCATTCAACAGAAGATGATTCCAGCTTTTTAAAATTATAAATATGCTTATACCTGATATCCTTTAATCACAGGGTGGTAAGGAGTACTAACAAATGCTCTATATCCAGCTTACATACCAGCATTCATTTCTTTAAATTTCTGTTTGAGCTCCAGTGGTGTCAGGCGGTATTGGTCTAATCCATCATTCCATTTTATTCTCTCTAGCACCTGAAGGTCTCCACCAACGAGCCAATCCCCACTTTCCATCACCATCTAGAAAGGTCAATAATAAAGTTGTTAGTGGTTAATAAAAATATTGATTCCTATTTTATCTGAAAATTTTTTCTTCGCTGGACTAATCTTGGGTTCCTGTTGAAAAACAATTTTCAATTCTCTAGCGTCTCTAGCAGTGTATTCCTCAAACTCTTTGGCCTCTCAATCCCTTCACAGACTTAAAAGTCATTGAAAATATCCAAGGAGCTTTTGTTTGTGATGATTTTACACACACACACACACACACACACACACATACGCATATATATGTAAATTTTATTTAGAAATTAAAGCCGGTAAAGTTATGGTATTTCTTTTTTTTTTTTTTAAAAGGTTTATTTGTGCATACAGAACTGGGGTACAGGCTAGAGGCTCAGGGGCAGTGAGAGGCTTCACCGAGACAGAGTGGGGAGCAGGACAGGCAGATCGACAAAGTACACTGCTGAGGGGAGCAGGGGGCGGGTCAGGCGAGGTCTGCCGCGCCATGTGGTCTCCTCCGGGGCAGGCAGGAATTGAACTCATGTGGAAGTGGCTTTAGCTTCTCAGTGCAGTGCTTTAACCCGCTGCGCCACCAGGGAGGGCCAGTTATGGTATTTCTTAATAACTATTTGTTAAATATAAAACTAATAATGATAAACCTATTACATATGAACATAAAGACATATATAATATTTTACTTTAGTCAATGGGCTGAGTCTGATTACTTTAGGCACAGACTTACTGCACCCCTCAGCAGCCTACTGATTGTCCTCAACCCTAGCTCCTCTACCCAATCCTTGTCCCCATGAAATGGGCCAGGAAGAGAATGACATTCACCCTGGGGCAGAGGGATGTGTTGGAAGTGCTACTTGCTAGGACCTGGTACTCAGACATCTTCATGCCAGAGAAAGTGGCCCTGAAGACTTGCCCCCAAATCCAGGTGCAGGAACCACCTCATACCACACTCAATAATTAACTCAAAATGGCTTAAAGACTTGGATTTAAAACCTGAAAGCATACAACACAGAAGAAAGCATAGGTAAAACATTACACAGACATATGCTTCAGCGATATATGTAACAGCAAGAGAACAAAAAAAGAATAAATATATTGAACTATATCAAACCAAAAAGCTTCTGCACAACAAAAAGAAAACAAATAATCCAATCAAAAAGTGGACAGAAGAGTTAAATAGGTGCTTCTCCAAGGAAGACAGACAGATGAACAGCAAGCACCTGAAAAAATAATCATCAATATTGTCAGGGAAATGCAAATCAAAACCACAATGAGATACCATATCATGCCTGTGAGAATAAAGGTTTTCTTAATTTGCAGTGACCAGAAGCACCCGAGCAACTAAAACACCAGTGCATTTGATACAACCAAATGCCACCAAAAAGTTAACAAAACTAAATCTTGAGAGAAAGGAGGGAAGAATATAATGCCGTAAACAGATGTTCCAATGTTTTAGCCAATACTTGCAACAGACAGTGTCTCAAGCTCACTCACGTTTCATGACAAACTAGTAGATGGCACTGAAAACTGTTTCAGGGCTGTGTGAACGGTGCCACTCATTGTCCTAGCTACATTAATTTAGTTAAAAAAAAAAGTAATGGTCGAGGCCTTCCTGTGGTGTAGGGGTTGAAGTCTAAGCACTATCAAGCTATTACTAGCCACTGAGACATGGGTTTGACCCCTGGTCAGGGAAGTGACCCACATGGCCCAGCAGACCTCTCCTGTCTCGCCCTCTGCTCCCCTCAGCAGTGTATTTCAGTGGGTCTGTCTGTTCTACTCCCCACTCTCTCTGATGATTCCTCTCACCCCAGTTCTTATCTGCATAAACAAATAAAATAAATTTTTAATATAAAATAATGTTCATAGGAGTAAACAGGCAATATGTGGTTTTTAATCATATTAGACTTCAAAACTGTGATCTCTTCTGATTGTATGCAACCTCTGCAGCGGTTCTTCTGTGATTAAATAGAGTATAAGCAAATCAGAGCAATTTCATATTTATCTAAAAAAATTATCTTTTGCTGGCAGTAAGCTACACTGAGACTTTACAACAAAATGTTTTTGGCTAAGGAGAGTGAGTGAAGGGACATAAAAGTACCGTAATCGGGCCCTTCCTGGTGGCGCAGCGGGTTAAAGCACAGCACTAAGAAGCTTAAGCCACTTCAGTATGAGTTCCATCCCGCCTGTCCCGGAGGAGATCCACATGGCGTGGCAGACCTCTCCTGCCCACCCGCTGCTCCCCTTAGCAGTGTGCTTCGTTGATCTACCTGTTCTGCTCCCCACTCTGTCTCTGATGAATCCTCTCTCCCTCTGCATCTCTGGCCTGTACCCCAGTTCTATATGAATAAATAAATAAATCATTAAAAAAAAAAGTACTGTAATCACCTGTAATTTATGGTTGGTACCCCTAACGGTAAGAGACCTTATACCATTGCTCTAACCCTGATGAAACTATAATCACTGTTGTTTATGTATACAGATGATAAATAAATCTTTTTTTCCTGGACTTGGCAGATATAATTACATTTAAATGGTTCTAGCATACACATATGTAAGCAAAGAGTGGGAATGTAAATTGGCACAGTGTATGTAGACCATAGTATGGTGGCTTTACAAAAGTTAAAATTAGATGTATGGATTGCTGGACTTGAACTAGCAATTCCACTTCTAGGTATCCACTCAAGAAATATAAAACACTAATTTTAAAAGATATCTAAACTTTATAGTCACTGCAATACTATTTATAATACTCAAGATAAGGAAACAGCCTGAATCCATTGACAAATGATTGAATAAAGAATTTTTGTACTGCTGTGAAGATAGGGTTTAGATATCTTTTTCAGTTAGTGTTTTTTACACATATATTAGAACACACACACTCATACATGCATATAGTGGAATAGTACTTACCTATAAAAAGACATACTGTTGTCATTTGTGACAACATGGATGAAACTGGAGGTGATTATTTGCTAAGCAAGTAAGTCAGATGGAGAAAGACAAATACCAGATTACTTCATTCACATACGGGGTATAAACAAAAGAAAGGAGCAAATAACATCAAACCAAAACAAAACCTTGGATTCTGATGGCAAAACTGAGGTGAACAGAGGTGAGAGCAAAAGTTGAAAAGGATCCAGTGGCTTGTAGTGAAGGGTTATTGGTGGTGGTGGCTGCAGTGATAACATATGTTTGATGACGGCCCTCCCTAGTGGCGCAGCGGGTTAAAGCACAGCACTATGAAGCTATCACAGTCACTGCGGCATGAGTTTGATCCCCTGCCAGGGGGGGGTGACCTTCATGACATGGCAGACCTCTCCTGACCTGACGGATTTTCCCCTCAGCAGTATACTTCACTCCATCTGCCTGCTCTGCTCCCCACTCTGTCTCTAGTGAATCCTCTCACCGCCCTGCACCTCTGGCCTGTACCAAAGTTCTGTATGCATAAATAAATAAACCTTAAAAAAAAAAAAGACGTGGTTGATGAGCTGTGAACCCACTCTCCTACAACATACACAGTGCTATTCACTAATGTTGCTTCAATAAAAAAAAATTTAATTAAATAATCCTTTAAAAAATGAGCAAAAAGGCCCTCCCTGGTGGCGCAGCGGGTTAAAGCACAGTACAAAGAAGCTTAAACCACTTCCGCATGAGTTCGATTCCCGCCTGCCCTGGAGGTGACCATATGGCGTGGCAGACCTCTCCTGACCCACCCGCTGCTCCCCTCAGCAGTGTACTTCGTCGATCTGCCTGTTCTGTACCCCATTCTGTCTCTGGTGAATCTTCTTACCCTCCGCATTTCTGGCCTGTACCCCAGTTCTGTATGAATAAATAAATAAATCTAAAAAAAAAAAAAGAGCAAAAGACTTGAGTGGACATTTTCTCAAAAATTATATACAAATGGCCAAGAGAAATAGGAGAGATACGCAGCATCATCATTTTTCAGAGAAAGGCAACCCACACACCAATTAGGATGGCTACTATCAAAAACAGAACAAGTGTTGGCAGGGATAGAATATAGAGGGTTTGTGCTCTTGGTGGCATTGTAAAGTGCCTGAACTGCTTGGAAAACAGTTGGAGTTTCTTTAAAAATTAAAACTAGAGAGCCTGGTAGCACAAGGGATTAAATCATGAAGCTATTGGCAGCCACTGCAGCAAGAGTTCTATCCCCAGCCAGGGAGGTGACCCACATGGCACAGCAGACCTCGCCAGTCTTGCCCGCTGCTCCTCTCAGCAGTGTGTTTCAGTAGAGCTGCCTGTTCTGCTCCCCACTCTGTCTCCAGTGAATCCTCTTACACCCCCCACTTCTGGCTTGCACCCCAGAGCATATTTGTATGCACAAATAAAAAAATTTTTTTAAAATATTAAAATTAGAACTGCCCTATGATCCAGTAAGCCCACTGTGGATTCATATCCAGATGAGTGGAAAGCAAGGTCTTAAGAGATGTTTATACCCATGTCTTTTCAGCAATTTGGATGGAGCTGGAAAAGAGATGAGCCAGAAAGAGAAAGAAAAATACCAGATGGCTTCACTCATAGCAGGAGTATAATGGACCAGGCAAGAAAATAACAAGAATAATGAGCAACCATATACCCGAGACATTTTGCAGGGGTGAAGTGGGGAATGGGATCAAAAACGGGGGTGTGG